TCAGACTTCAAGATAATTGAAAACATAGCATTTAGTTTAAACCTAAGCAATTACATTTTAAATTTTTTTTTTCAATTCAAGGTTTAATAAGATAATTGGAAGCATAGCGTTCTTGCAGGGTGTTCGACAGAAAGACTTATTGGTTTGTTAAGATGATACTATAAATAACCCCTTACTGGAAGTCATGTTCTTGGTTGCTGCATGTACCGGTGCTTTTTTTCTTTTCCTCCCTTTCCTCCAAAATAGGTGCGTCATAGACTAAGAGAAAACATTAAACTGCCAGGTACGGATATCCATAGAATATCTCTCTTTCAGTGGTTTTTATGCTTTGCTATGATGCCTGCAGGGTCATCAGGTCCATCTATCCATGTCTCTTTTCAGCTTGAGTACTTACTCTGCACGAAGGCTTGTGGTTGTTCTTAGGTTTTCGTCAGTGAGTTCAGCTGCTTTTGCTATGCTAGAAAATTCTTAGGGTTACATTGGTTTGATGTGGCTTTGATCTCTTTTTTGCAGGAGTGGAAATAAAAACATTAGAATGGCAACAAAGTTGCTAAAAAACACCGAGGGGGTTTCCAGAGGAGTTATCAAATTGTAGTAGATTCAAGAAGAACATATGAATGAGTTTATTTTTATCCAGTGTATAATTAAACTTTGGAGTCTGTGAATTTTTGCCATGTACAACTTTGTGACTCAAGATCAGAAGGTAGTTGGAGAAATTTTATGGTTATCACGGATGGCTTTTTCTTCATTGGGAAAAATATGCTACATAGCTACTGAAGTTGAGCAGTAACTTTTTGCGGGAACAGGAACAGCACAGATTCGCCATCATGCCACTTAACTAATGGCCATTGTCAGAGGTGGGATGCTGATCCAGGTGGATCTGTGATCTAGTCCAGGATGGCTATTTTTATTTTCTTCTTCCTCACTAAGCTGGAATAAATCACAGGCTGTCTTGTAAGCTGGCTGGGAATGATACACTTAGCTCTGTAACGTTAACTGTTGATCCCCTTCACTTCAAGAGACGAAGCAATACCCCACAAACCTTTCTTTTAATGAACTTAGCAGTTGCATTATTTCATATGCTCCGGGCGAAAGTGTTTGACTTTTCTGTCACTTTGTCCCCTGTCCCCTGAAGACACTGAGATTGAGAGATGAGCGGAAATAAATAGCACTATGTATCAATGGCAAGGGGGGGTATATGTTCTTCTGCGATAGGTAAGCAGCAGCAAGGACACTTCTGCTTTTTAAAAACTCAGTTCTCTGCCTCTATCTTCTAGGATCTTTGAAGCAGATACGGCCCTGAAAAGGTGCTGCTTGCAAACAACCATTTTGCAGAGCTAGAAAATGAAGGAGGAGAGGGGTCTGTTTTCAAGTATGGAAAACACAAAACTGCAGGTCCCCCACCCCTGTGCAGTGACAGTATCACACCCTGGCTGGGGAATTCAGGCTGATTTCTGTGGCAGTCTCTCAGGATAAGGAGTTGCTGTGTTTTCTCATGAGGAGCACGGTTAGGACTCCAGCAAGGCTTATGAAGTCATGAAAGGTGTATGGTATTAATTATGAATCTATGGCCTGGGAAGACAAATGGACATTTAAAGATGTCCAAGGACTGGGGTAAAAACTAAAGCAACTGCTTACACAGTCACTGTAGTCGCATTCTTGTCACACGTGGGTGTGGGGCTGGCAAGCCAGCCAAAGTGTGTCTGTGCCCTTCTGGCTCAGAGCACTGGCTGCAGTGGCCTGGTGGTTTCATCATGGTTTGTTCTGCTGGGTTTTTCAAACCACCTGCTGACACTCTCACCTGCTCTGTGCTGGGAGAAATTGTTTCAGTTGTTTGTAGGTAAGCAGCTTTCTGGTTCTGTGTAGTCTGTTTAGGTAAGGACACACTGCTGCAGTGACGGTTAGCATTGTGCTGTGGGTGCTCCAGTGGGGGTTGGCATTTTAGTGCTGCTTGCAAAAGCTTCCCTTCACCTTATGTGCCAATTCCTGACATTTGCATCCAAGCATCGTGTTCTGTCTCTCCTTCCACATGTAACTTCTGCACAGGTGTTACTGAAGCTATGCTGTGATGGTCCCTGATGTTGAAGGCTTCTTTCCTGAGAGATGTGTCCTGTGCTGTGATAGTTGAATGTACGTGAAGGTATTGCAGTTTACTAACATTCTACTTATGTGCCTTAGGCTATATAGAGCGTGTGTGTATTTTTTTATATATACCTACTCCACGCACACACTATATATAGTGCAAATATAATACATTATTAGGTTTTGTATATGCATATACACTACACACATACACTATTATGTGTAGTACTATACTACTGTGTGTATAGTGTATATATGATGTCTAGTACTATACGTGTATAGTATATAAAAACCTAATGTACTATGCTTGCACTATACTTCCTATGATGAGCTACTTCTCCCAGCCCATATTTTGTCTTCTTGTGACCAAATGTTTGTGGGTATAGTTACGTAAATGACAGTAACTGTTTAATAAAAGCAGGCTGAGTCCACATCTTTGATGTGCTCTGAAAGATCTAGCAGCATCTTCTGGCCCTAGTCCTTCTAGGAGGACTTTCTTGGCTGCAACAGCAAACACTGGTCTAGCTTGTATCCAGCTACCCCTTATGTGTTGTTGCATCAAAAGGTGTTTCCTTTCAGCAAAGGCAAGGAAAGCATCCTGTGAGAGTTAATAGCTTAAAAATAGAGATAAACCACAGGTTTTCTGTGTTGGCTGTTTTTGTGGGTTTTTTTTTTTTTCTTTTCCTGCAAGCTTTTTGGCTTTTCTGGTTTGTTTTTGTTTAGTTTTTGTGGAGTTGAAGCTGTACCCTGCAATTATATAATTGACTGTCAGTATCAAACTTCCACTGCTAAATAGAGATAGGTATGTGAAGTCCTTGACTAATTTTGGGGGATGCATCCAACATCCCTAGTTCCAGAAACACCTGTCTGGAAGGGCAGCTTTTAGAAGACCACTTGCATGGAAGGTAGCCTGAGCAGCGTGTGGAGGGAGAGGGTAGCTGTGTCCCAGGGGAGCTGAGGCTTGGGGCTCTGCCAGAGTCCATGCCTGACTTTTACCCCAGTGCTGGGCACTGCAGCAAGCAGCAGAGCCTGCAAGCATGAGACTGTGTGTGGTCTCCTGCGGGTGCCTGATCTGCGCCTTTGAGAGTTATGGCAATATTGAGAATGAAACCATTTGTTAAAGCTTGCAACTTTCAGCTTACTCTTCTAGTCAAGTTAGCTATGGCTACATCAGTTAATTATGATAAGAAAGGACTATTACCAAAACAATGTTTAATTTAAAAAAAAAAAATTTATTTCACACTTCTTTACAAATATCCACAGGTAATTTCTGATCATGGAATGATGTAGCATTGCTAGCTGGTATAAAAAAAGTCTGAGATAAAAGTATACCAGTGACATGACTTAATTTTCAAGAACTTAACACTGCTAAGACATTCATGTTCTTAGGTGAGGGCCACAATCTGCTTTTAAATCCAAGGCTATTTGTCAAGCTTCTTAGCTGCCGATCAGCCCAAGTTCTGTTGCTGCTGAGCCTCTCCGCAAATACGCTAGAATTTTAAAAGCTCAAAAATTGGGTAACAGCCAAGTACATGTGTAAGTGTTCACAAAATAAGGGTCACAACATACTGAGATTGTTTAGTAGGAGGAAGAACAGTCTATTAAATTAGTACACTTTCTATAATGACAACTTTTTAGGTGACCACACCTTCCAAGAAGGTATGTTCAAAGTTAGTCGTGAAAATAAGACACTTGACAACAGGCTCTCCTAGCAGGTTTTTACCCTATGAGGGGAAAAAGTACCAAGAGGTTTTTGCATAGTTCAAATTACTAGCAATTAATGTGCATACTTTTTGAGCAGAATTTTGTTTCACATGGAATAAACAATTGTGAACTAAATCTTTGTTCCTAAATAGTACCAACGCTTTAGAACATGGGTAAAAAAAGTAAACTCTTTAAATAGTTTTATCAGTTATATTACAATAACTAGATTACTGATAAACACAACATTGTGGTTCTACTTTTATCAACATTCAGGTATTCAAGATGATTCAGTAGTCTCAACGTGGATCAGCTCAGATGCCCATAGTTAAGGTAAGTTAGGCATTTATAGCCTCCTTCAAGTGCTGTATAACAGCTGCAGTAGTCAATGCCTTTTGCCAGACAGGAAGTCCTTGGGAAGCTGTTTCCAGAGAACCTCTCAATTTCTTGCAGTCAGTAGAAAACTGTATCTAAAAACCCTAATTCTGCTTGGTGTCCAAATTGTTAAATAGTCTGAAGTAATATACAAATCATGTTACAAGACCTGATAATTCCTATTACATAAAGTTACAAGTATCAGGAAAAAAAAGCCCCCATACACATCATTAGAATTAATATTTACATTTTTAGAAAGCATGGGCACCTTCAGTGTCTTGTTAAAATGCAGTGAAAGCCTCAGGTCTTATAATCTGAAGTTCAAAAACACAATGGATTTGAAAGTTCAGTTAAGTCTTTGGCCTAACAATTAGTCAAAGACAATGATTTCTAACAAAAATAAATACAAAAATGACTAAAATATATATACAAAAAGTACATCTAATATTCAAGCCTCTTAAAAAAACAACCTGTGTATATTTGTTGTGAGCAAGAATCAGACAATCTGATCTTAAGGAAAAAAAAAAAGCAACATGACTTATTGCACATGTAATTTAAGATGATGCTTTTTTGTTAAGCCCTAACTACTGCAGCAGGCAAAGTTTATGACTAGAGATTTGCTTATACTTGAACAAAGAGTGTTAAGGCCCCTGTGTGTTTATAATGGACTGTGCGTTGAGGGAAGGATGGGAGAACCTGTCTTGACCTTAACCATGCATTCCTTGCATACCTAGGAAGAAGGTTAGGATTACAGGAAAAGGTCTGCTGTAGTGGTTTTGCGTATTTTCCAGAAAAGACCCCAAATCAACACAGTATCTTCTAAAGTGTGAGTTAGATTTGAAGGGGGAAAGAGGCAGTCTGAAAATTAAATAATGCAATAAAGTCTGTTGAAGCAATTTTAACTGTGCAAACAAAAGCCTCAATATAAGTAGTAATATCTACAATCAAATGGTGAATGTCCATAGTGTTCATAGGTCTAACTCTGTCAGTATTCCATTACTGAAAACCGTAACTTCTATCTGTGGATGAAAAGATTTTTTCCCTAAGAATAACTTTCATTTTCATTCCATTTTGTGAACCACTGTTTTGTCTCAAGGTCTTTGCACTTCCCATCTTTGATTTGTCGCTCTTCTTTTCGAATTCTTACAGCATGATATCGGGGAACACTGTCTTCGTACCTAGAACGCTGGAAGAACCCGCACTGGGGCACAGAAGAAAAAGAACAGTTTAGCTTTAAGTTGCTGCCGAAATACTACAATTACAGAGGCAGTAAATTCTTCCTTTGCACAGTTAATACAGGTAAGAAAACTGAAACCAAAAATATGTAGGCCAAAAATGTAGCCTATGTAGCTGTAAAAAAAGTGAGCTGGCAGGTCTATACTAGTTGTTCCAGCAGCAGTTGAAGACAAATGGCACAGTCAGACAATCTGGTGCTAATCTAATACCTTAAAAATAATCCCTCCACTATCTTTCTAAATCTGTTTCACAAGTCTTTCAAGTCTTCTTATAAAGCTGTTTATTCATATAATGAGAGAACTTAATGCTACACAAAGAAGTAGATACAGTTCAGGGAAGCTTGCTTCTCCCGAATCAAAGGTAGGTATGTACTTCAGGATCTTCCACTACGGTGACATGATTTACCTTTAAAAAGCTACAGAAAGACTTCTAGGACCTTCAAGAAAAGTTATGCTAGGGCCTTGTTTTTCAAAGCACCATCTCAACTATAGTCACCTGGACTAACTATACATATGCAGTATTAGAACATGAGTCTTGCTTAGTTTGCCATAATATAAAAAACAGACATAACTTGAAAGTTTTGTCATGTGCCACAAGTCTCCCTAGATGAAATCCAGTACAGCTTATTTGTGCCCTGCAATTTTTTATTCAAAGCCACTGTAAAAACTGATTTTAAATATTGATTAATAGACTGAAATTAATTTTCAAAACAAAATAGAGTTATGGCCATGTGTTACAAAGATGATGACTGGTGGACACTCAACTTTACATGCTTATGGGTCACTGATGTCAAGATTACAGTTAAGAGACTGTGCCATTCAGCTGTCCTTAGATACTGCTAGGAAAAAAAAAATTTAAAGTAGCAAGGTACTGTTCATAGTATTTGAGGGGGTGGGATTTTTGGTTTTGGTTGGTTGGATTTTGGTTTTTTGTTTGTTTTTAAATAATACTATAACTTGCATAGAAGTGAATGTAAGTTTTTTTTAAATTGAGGCACAGACTAAATCTTCAGCCATCTCTTAGTTAAGATTTCATTAAACACTGTTTTAACATATTGTACTGAAGAATTCCTCCCCACTCCCTCATCCCAAACATCACTTTATATTAATATAATGTGCATGCATGTAATATCTTAGGTTGAATAAAGGTTGCTAGAAGCATAAATCATCATGCATCTAGTAGCTTCAGCAGAGGAAAATGTATTCCTACAGAAGCATACCTTAGAATTGAAGGAAAACAGATGTTTCCCCAGTAATTCAATTCTCATTATGAAAACCCCTTTCATATAAGCAACACGTACCTTTTAGCATGCACTAAAGGTTAGTAAAGCAAGTTTACCTATCATCCATGTAGTCTTAGCTTTAAATCTTAACTCTGCAGTGTTGATTATCATCTCTCAAGCTTAAAAAACTTACTTGTATGTTAAAACATGAATTCACAAAGACGACTAAAAAAACATTGCAACAGATCAACATGTTTTTCTAAAGATATAAACAAGAAGCTTTTTAGACCAAAGTAAACACCTGTGTGTGTTCACGTGCGCCAAAAGCTGAAAAACCTATCGACAGAATGAGCAAGCAAGTATGATAGTTTGAAATCCAAAAGTTAATAGGACATATGCAGTAAAAGCTTCATAGTTAGCCACCACAACCATAGCATGTGCCACAGCTAAAAATTAAAAAATATCATCAATTACCAATTACAGTAGTAGATCAATACTATGCATCAGAAGTAAGCCTCTCTTTATCAGATGGCTGAGCATGGATCTCAGCCTTGTGATATGTGGCATCGTAATGATCTTTCTTATTTCTCTTGAAGAAACCACACTACAAGGAAGCAAGGTATTTAGTCAATTTTTGTGGACTAGAAGAAGTCAAACCTATTACAACTGACTTACCTCTGTGAACTCTCTTCCCATTATCCTTTCACAGGAGGAAAAAAAAAATAATCACAAGAACCTAGCTGTTTCTAGATCTAAGAACTTCTGGGACTAACTTGATCTGTAAAATAATACAATAAACCTGAGGTAAAGAATATTATTTTAGAGGCATTTTGATAAGTTTGTAACACATCTGTTGTGTGGGGTTTTTTGTTGGTGGGGTTTTTTTGTGCTTTTTTGTTTTTAAGAAAAGCTGCTATAAAATATGTCCATAGCAACTAAAGGTGGCTGTGAAGAGCAGAAAGAAGTCTATACAGAAACTTGTTTGTGGACTAGTGCACAGGATAGACAAAAATGTGGGGTAGAACAACAATGAGTACTGCTTTGACCTGTACAACATAAGTGTGTGTCTTAAACCAATCATGTAACGGTCTTTGAAGTACCATGTTGGTCCTTTGTAAGATGGCACAGTGTTTGTCATCAAAAGAAGCATTTTGCTCTGTGTGTGTGAGAAAAATGTGTGTATTTTCATACGCAATAAAACACTAATAGTTACAACCTAATAGCCCACCCAAAGTATTAATTCATCAGGAAGATCTGCAGCAATGGCTGGGCATTTATTAAAAAAAGTAAGTTGGAACTATCCTGTGAGAAGTAACCTGCAATTTCTCTAGAAGAAAGTAAGTGACAGATAAGATCATCTTCTTCACCTCTTCTTTCTTAATAACCTTCCGCTATCCCATCACAATACTAACTGCCTCTGCCTCTAAAAGCTAAGAATAAAAGGACTGCCCTACTTTGAACCACAATTAGTTGTAAAAATGCCAAGAGTAGGTAGAAAAATAGGTACTTGATTTTTTCTTTTGCAAATTGGTAAGCTTTTGTTATACACACTTATTTACTCCTTTAGGGTTTCTATGATAAAAAGCCAATGCTACAGCAATTCACCAGCACATTTAGCTATGTATTACTTCTGTTACCTTTTGGATATTTTAATGTACTATCAGTTTAATGGTATTTCTAATGTTATGAGAACAAAGCCCTACTAAAACATCTGTAAATAGTTCACATGAAGTTCTACACCTAACTGCAGAAGCCCCAATTAGCTGTATCCATCCATATCAAAGGAACTACGGTCACTGAACAGTTGTCTCTAGTTTTGCCCAGAGCTCAAAATGCTTCCTTTTGAGGATGTAGAAATAGAAAGATTTCATATCAGGTCTTCCTGTGGAGCCATTTTCATTCCAAATGTTGCAAAACTGAGAAACTGATAAAGGTACTGTGTGGTTTGGACAGTTTTGCTCTATTCGAGCATATTTTGCTCTATTTTGAACAAATACAAACCAAAATACTTAATTACTTGCTTAATTAGTTTGCTGTTTTGTCAGTTGTAGACCAGGAAATATAAAATAACTAAATGAATAAAAACTCACCTTCCATAGTAAGAATACCAACAGTGCAAGCATCAGTATTCCAGCAAAAATAGCCACCGAGATGATCCACCAAGGTACTCCCGTATAAAGTGCAACTGGTTTTGCAGGAAAGACAGTAACACGCACCTAAAGGAGAGAAAATATGTGAAGATGGAAAGAGCATTTCAGAAGCATCCATGTTCAATATAAAGCTGCAATTTATATACTGTTATCTCTTCTCTAACTCACAAGATGTCTTCATCTTCTCTCTCTCATCTACAAAGTGTTTTTGAAGAAAAAGTTCCTACCGGTATCATTTCAATATGGTAGTGCGTTTTTCCAACCCAATTAAAAGGTAAAAGCAATCAATAATTCAAAACTCAGTTAAAAAGCTAAACTTAGCTACTTTTGTTTTAAATTCTTTTTTTCCCCAGTCTTTGAGATAAGCTGGAAACACCGTAACATATAGTTTAGCATTAAAGGTTAAATCTACCTGAGCAACTTCATTTGTGAGTTTAACATTCTTAGCTGCAGCAGGAACACTGATCGAAGCCCTAACAAGAACGTCCAGGTAGTTCATTTTGGAGTATTCCTGTTCCAAAATAAAATACAGACATTAGACACAGAACAGGAGAGAACTCTGACCTTCAAAAAATGGCAGGTAAGAGGACTTGACTTACTTCTAAGAAAGTACTGTTCCACAGTCTGGAACGCAGCACAATAGATGCCTTGCTGTCCAAACCCTTCAGGGGACATTTTATGTCCACACAGCGTGCATTCACATTGCAGTCCTGCAATTACAAATTTCTACATGTAAATAAAAACACATCCTCACAAGTTGCTTAAATACCCCCCACCCCGGATTAAAAATTGGATTATATGCATCATATTTATGTGCAAGAACCAAAATCTGCTTGTACTGAGAGCAATAGGAAAAAACCACCTAAGATGCTATCACCTATTATTTTAATGTAGATAACGATGCAGAAATTCTTTCCTATTTCTCTCTCATCAGTAGATAATCTAAATAGTCAAATTTTAAAATCATTGATACTTGGATTTAAGATAAAAAACAAAGCAGTGATACCTTCTTTCACCCTGCCAATCTCAGAAAAGCCCTCTTATGAGGGCAGGGAGAGGTGTCTGACCAGACTATAGTTGGTGCGATATGCTTACCAAGGTCTTGTATTTTCTTTCCGAGAATAAAGAAAATGTCTTGCTGTCTGTAATCTGCTTCTCTGCAACCTCACGTTTCCTTCTTGAGTTAGAGGATTCCTAAAAGAAAAAAAAAAAACAACACCCAAATAGTAGGAAGAGTTTTAGTAGTTTATCCTAAGTATCTCTAAATTCTGACCCCATACAAGCAAACAAACAAGAGCAGCGAGTGTTTTCTCATTTCAAGATCAGCACATGAATGAGAATATTATATATCTCTACTTATCTACATTTATTGCTAATAGTAGAGTCAGGACAATTACTAGAATTTGAGATTACCTAAAGAAAGGTCAACTGACTACTTTCTGTAATAGGTCACGAGAGTTTTAGATTTACAAAGCTTTCAAAGCTATTTTCAATATTAACTAATGTGATCTGAGAAAAATGGGCTTATGTGCATGCAGTTTTAATGGTGAAAATTAAAACTCCTCCCAAATGATCTTAAGAC